CTGGCCTCCGCACGGGCCCTGGCCTCCGCGTGGGCCCTGGCCTCTGCGCAGGCCCTGGGGTCTGGGCGGCCCGCCCGCGGGTGGCATCTCTGTTGAGAGCTGCTCTGCAGGGCAGTCCTTGCCTCCTGGGGCGGCTGTTTGCATCTGGGTCTCCTGTCGTACCCTCCCTGGTATAGTTGCTTTTGGAAAGAGCTTTTTAAGACTGGTCAGGGGCTGGGAAGGTGGCTCAGTGGTAGAGTGCTTGCCTTGCATGCATGAGGCCCTGGGTTCGATTCCTCAGTACCACATAAGCAAAAAGAAAAAAAGCTGGAAGTGGCGCTGTGGCTCAAGTGGTAGAGTGCTAGTCTTGAGCTGAAGAGCTGAGGGACAGCGCCCAGGCCCAGAGTTCAGGCCCCACGTCCAGACCCCCCCCAAAAAAAAAAGACTGGTTAGTCCCCCTTTCCTGTGCATTGGCAAGCTTGAACCTAGGGAATGATCAGTGCCCTTCTTTGGTACCTTAGCCCTCTCTGCACAGCTCATTTGGTTCTTTGAACTTTGAGCTTTCTAGAAACTTGTGGGTCTCCTTTGTAATTTTTAAAATACTTTTTTTTTTTCACTAGTCCTGGGACTTGAACTCAGGGCCTGGGCGCTGTCCCTGAGCTTCTTTTGCTCAAGGCTGGCACTCTACCACTTGAGCCACAGCTTCACTTCTAGCTTTTTCTGAGTAGTTTATTAGAGATAAAAGTCTCACAGACTCTCCTGCCTGGGCTGGCTTTGAACTATGATAGGAACTTTGAACAGCCTTTTGAGTAGCTAGGATCACTAGCTCATGGCTTAATAATAGTCTGTAGTGTGTGTGTGTGTGTGTGTGTGTGTACACTGGGGCTTAAATATAGTCTGTAGTGTGTGTGTGTGTGTGTGTGTGTGTGTGTGTGTGTGTGTACACTGGGGCTTAAACTCTGGGCCTGGGCACTGTCTCTTAGCTTTTTCACTTAAGATTAGTGGTCTACCACTGAGCCAGTGGGGATTGAGCCCTGGCCTGGGCATTGTCCCTGAACTTCTTTTTGCTCAAGGCTAGCACTCTACTATTTGAACTATAGCACCACTTCCTGCTTTTTCCGTTTACATGGTACTGAGGAATTGAACCCAGGGCTTCGTGCATACTAGGCAGGCACACTACCGCTAAGCCACATTCCCAGCCCCTAGTTTTCCTTTCTAATTTTTTTTGCTATGTAGCCTAGGACGGCTTTGAACTCTCAATCTGCCTGCCTGCCTCAGCTTCCCAAGTACTGGGATTACAGGTGTGCGCCACTGGACTGTGAGGCCTTTGTGTTTGTATTTTTGTGAGGCATGGATGTGTTTAATCTGGACAAAAAGCCCATCCTTCCAATGACCTTATTTTATTTCTGCCCTCCCCCCCACCCCCCTGTTTTAGATCAGATACCCTTGGCCACATTTTGCCCACACTCGGGAAGGACTGGACCCACCAGGGGATCGCTAAGCTGTACCATAAAGTGAGCCAGTAAGTATGTGCGCTTGGCTCCCAGGCCCTGTGAACTGTGGCGGCCCCCCGTGCCATGCGCACAGCCTCTTCCTGCTGGCGTGGGGTGGGTGGCTTCCTGGCTTATGAAGAACGGGGCATCTAAAGCCAGGAGCAGCAGTGGGGAGTGGTGGTGGAGAGTCCTAAGTAATTCCAGACTTAAACTCAGTACCAGGCAACCAGAAAGGAGGTACAGGTGAGTCAACCGTTGTAGAAGAAATAGGTGGTATTCATGGGGTGCCAAAGATAGCCAGCCAGCCAGCCGGGATGAAGCAGGCACTTAATTGGAATGCTTTTAACACGTCGGGAAACACTTGTGGCATTGGGCTGGAGCCTCTGCAGGCCCTCCACGGAGGCCTCCCAACCTTCCCTGACCCGAGTGCAGTCCTGTCCTCTGCCGCTCGGCCTCCTCGGTAGCTTCTGGTGCTCTCTGTATTTATAGTTAATGGAAAGAAGCCTGCAAGGGTCAGGGTGCGCATTCTTTTTGACTCTGGATTAAATCTGTTTCTAGATTATTAAAAAAGCGCAGCCTGCCTGCATCCATCCTTCCTTCGTTCATTCCTTCATTTGTTCCTTCCTTTCTTTGTTCCTCCCTCTCTTCTTCCCCTTCCTTCTTCCTTTCCTGTCCTGTCCTACTGTCCTTTTTTTTTTTTTTGCTGGTACTTGAACTCAGGGCCTTCTGTTCTTGTTTGGCGTTTTCATAAAGCTAGAGCTCTACCACTTGAACCATAGCTCTACTTATGGCTTTTTGGTGGAGATAAGTATCTCATGGACTTGCCTGCCCTAACTGGCTTTGAACCTGGATCTGCAGGTCTCAGCCTCTTGAGTTAGCTAGGACTTCCAGGGGTGAGCCGCTGGCACCCAAAGCTGGTGTTCCGTCATTTGGGCCATACCTTCACAGACTTTTCTGTCCTGGCTGGCTTTGAACCTCAATCCTTAGGTCTCAAGTCTGTCTACTGATTATTTAGGATTATAGGCTCGAACCACTGGGGCTCAATATTCACAGCATTTGTTGTTATTGTTTACCTCAAATCTTTAGTTTACTATACTCATTACCCTCTGCCATAAGGAATAGAGGGACATGTTGAGTAGAAGGTTTACTGGAAGTCTTAGGGCTGGATTCCAGAAGGAGGCCCTTGGACTAAGAGCATGCCTTACTCTGAGCTTCGGCTTCCTTATCTCCAAGATGGAGGAAAGTAGACTAGATGATCCCTTAGGCCCAGTGCTGGCCATGATATGCCCTGCTGTTGGGTCAGCTTGGGGAATGGTACAGTGCGTGTCTACCACGGCTGAGTGCTGTTTTTCCAAGCTGAGCTTCAGGCAGGAGTCTGGGGAACGGGCTAGACTTGCACACCTGCAGTGCACAGGGACCATACCACAGCTGGGTAGCTCTGGTCCCACAGCTCCGGGCACTGAGGACGCCCATCGCCTCAGGGGCTTGTGATGGCGCGGGAGGTGCCTTGCTGCAGCAGGGCAGCCAGGGGCAGGTCCACGGGATGACGCTGGTGTTTTGGCATAGAGGGAAGGTGGCAGGTGAGCTGAGTCCTCATGATGAGGGGCATTCCAAAGGCAAGGGAAGGCTCCCAGTGGATGGAGCAGGGGTGAGAGATGAGCCAGTGTGTGAGGGAAAGGAGGTGCTGGAGCTGGTGGGTGGGTAAGCAGTGCCTCAGAGATGCCAGGTGCTGGTGGCTCACACCTGTAACCCTAGCTTCTTAGCAGAGATCTGAGGATCAATGTTCAACGCCAGCCAGGGTAGGAAAGTCTGTGAGACTTTTACCTCTAACCAGCAAAAAACCAGGAGTGGAGCTGTGGATCAAGTGGTAGAGCTTTAGTCTTCAGTACAAAAGCTCAGGGATAGTGCCCAGGCCCCAAGTTCAAGCCCCAAGACTGGTACCAAACCCTCCCCCCCAAACCAGACCCCCAAACTAACACATTAGAGAAACCAGAGGGCCGAGGGACTGGAAGGCCAGGCCAAGACCACGCATGGGTTTCCACGCGTCCTTTCTTCCTTAAGGGGCAGGTGACTGCCCTTCATGTTAGGACTGTGAGTGAGGACACAGAGTCCCTGCTCTTACAATACCCCCAGTGGAGGGTATTGTATTCTCTGTAGGGCACGTGGCAGTGTGGCAGGAACGTTTTTGACTGTCACGAGTGGTATGTGTTACACCATCTAGTGGGCGGAGGCCAGGAATGCTGCTCATGCCGTGTTACAGCACTGCGTCCTGGTGCAGGATCCATGGTCTCAATCCCCAATTGGAGACCCTGTCTACCTCCGCAGCTGACTGCTGCCAAAAGTCCTTGAAAAGGATGGCTCCTGGTATCCCCAGGCTGCGCGGATCGTGTCTTAGGGGATGCTCCTAGGGGCAAACATTCGGTCAGTGTAAAAGCAGGATGGAGATTGGACACAGATATCACCGCTGCTACCTAGTGGGAGTGGAGATTGCTCTTTCATCTTTTCTGCTATTTCCCCTGAGCCCCAGTGGAATTTCCGGGAACCTTGGTGGTCTCCGGGTGATGGTAGTGAAGGTTCATCGCTGACCCTTCCTGTCCTCCAGCCACCTCCGCTCTGTCATGTGCTCTACTTCTCTGGCTATTGGTTTTCTCTGCTCCTGCAGGGACAGGGTCATGCTGAGCCCACGGGCTCGCCAGCCAGTGTGGGGTTTCAGTGCGATTGGCGGAGAGTACAAGGAGCCTCAGACTTGTGCAGGGGCCATGGGTTGGCCACTGTTTGCTCTTCTGAGCACAGGGTCTTGCCCTAAGGGACAAGATTGTCGGTGGGCGTGTGCTGGCGGTCCAGGCAGCTTTCCCTGTAGGTGGAGGATTCCACCTCCAGCAGCCATGGTTCCCCTCTCACAGTAGACCATCTCCAGTTGAGGTTCCAGCTAAGTCAGGAAGGGCTTTTGTGCAGAGTAAGCACATGGAGACAACAGCTCAGGTGCATGGTTGAACTCCAAAATGGATCTGAAAATCAAGTTTGAATAAAACGAACCTTTCAGACCTTTGCAGGTGCAGCTTTGAGACTTTGATGTGAAGAGCTATGCACAGAAATGGTGATTTTTTTTCTTAAAAACTTGCATTAATTAGACAGCTGAAATACAAAGATGGTTCATTCAAAAGCCTGTTTCATATTCAGACGCAGCCCTCTGTTCCAAACAAGCTGAGAGATTGTTTTTGTCTGAAAACTTTTCCTGCTCCTTGATTTTCGAGAACGACATATTAGACAGATGTAGAGACACGGCCTCTTGTGTGGGGACAGTAAGTGGGGTGGAGTTGGTGGTCTGTATTCACCCATGTGCCAGATGCTTCTGTTCCCTGTGTGCCACACATTGCCCCAGCATGGTGTTACATCTTCCTGGAGGTAATGGATTAAAGAGAGAGAGTGAAATGAGGAACTGTGACGTAATACTAGTGATAGACACACTGAGGCAGAGCAGGCCCTGAGGGGGATGGGCAAGGGGGGAGCGTGGGAGGGAAGGTAGCCCCCACCCACCAGCTGTTCTGAGGATTACAGATGAGTCACAGTGAGTGGCATTGAAGGTCATTTTGGTTGATGTGGGGCTTGAACTCTGGGCCTGGACACTATCCCTGCGCTCTTCAGCTCAAGGCAAGTGCTCTACCACTTGAGCCACAGCACCACTTCCAGTTTTCTGGTGGTTAATTAGAGATAAGTGTTTCATGGACTTTCCTGCCCAGGCTGGCTTTCAACCGCGATCCTTAGAGCTCAGCCTCCTGAGTAGCTAGGATTATAGGCGTGAGCCACCGGTGCCCGGGTGAGGGTCATTTCTCTGCAGAAAACCCAGTGGTGTGGGGTGTGGACTCGGCAACATGGAGAACACATCCCTGCCCTTCTTCGGGAAGCAGATAGGTGTGAAGGGAGGGCGATGCCTGCCATTCAGTCTGGTGGTGCCGTTACATGTGGACGTGTTGTGTCTTTCAGGAATGGATATAAGTTTCTCTACTGCTCCGCCCGGGCCATCGGGATGGCAGACATGACGCGAGGCTACCTGCATTGGGTCAACGAGAGGGGCACCGTGCTGCCCCAGGGGCCGCTGCTGCTCAGCCCCAGCAGCCTCTTCTCCGCCCTGCACAGGTGCCGCCCTCCCCAGACACAGACCGGACCTCTGCACCTGCGTCTGCACTGTGCTTTCCCTCCCTCGCTGGATGGTTTGCAAGAACGCACAGCTTCTTCACTGGTCCCCACTTTAGAGGGGGTGCCGGGCCCACGCGGCATGTTAAATGCCGGGGCCCACCCCGCCTCTCCTGCCAGCACCTTCCCTGGGTTGCGGGGCTCTGGGGTCGAGCTCAGGTTCTTTTGCTGACGAGGGTGGCTCTCCACGGCCTGTCTCCTCTTGCTCCGCAGATGCATCTCTCTCTTATTTGGGAATCTCACTGGGACCGACTGGCTCCATTTTCCAGATAGCCTTTGTTTTGTTCTTCTACCTGGGGAAACCTCTCTCCACCCCTGCCCCTGAGAAGTTTGGCTGAGTCTTAATGGCTCTTGGAGAAACAACTCAGATTGCATCTCATGGGGAGCCTAGCCTGCTGAAGGAGCCTGTCCGGCCACGCCACCCATCTGGCCGTAGCTGCCTGGAACACACCCTTCTCTCCCGGAGTTTTAGAGTCATTGTGTATTTTAATAGTCCTCTAGGAGACCACAGACCAGTATCCACGCCCCCCTCAGCCCCCCGGCCATGTTGTAGACAGCTAAGGCAGTTCTGGCCCAGGGAGCACTGGGGACACTCTTTTCCCCTATAGTTGGATGGGGCCGTTCACCTGCTTATCAGCTTCAGGACTTCGGTCCCTGTGAAAAGGTGGAATGATCATATATTTGGTTTTTAAGACCCAACGAGGACTGGAGACATGGCTTAGTGGTAGAGTACCTGCCTAGTAAGCATGAGGCTCTGAGTTCAGACCTTAGTAAGGCCAAAACAAGCCAACCAACCCAAAAGTCCCAATGCAAGGCTTTGGCGGGTGGGATATGACTGAGTTTGAGAAGTGGATTTGGTGCTTGCTGTGCAAACAACGGAAAAGTGTGTATCTTCAGTACCAAGAGTTATCACAGCAGCATAGATCTCAAAAGCAATCCAGATGTTTTCAGGAAATTGTGTCCTGGCTATGGTGACAGCTTTGCAATATGGTGCTTTTCTTAGCATATGCTGTGTACAGTGGCCAGTATGCCAGGTGAGTGGGGCCAGTGACCTGGGCCCGTCGACAGATTCACATCATCCAGAAGCTGGGTGGGCCAAGGTCTTCACTGCTAGAGGAGAGGTTGTGTCCCATCAAGGCTTGGTAGCCTGGGACCAAGGAGGTTATTTCCTTTCTGTAGGATGTATGTCTGGGTGTCTGCCGGTCTTGGGGCTTGAACTCGAGGCCTGGACGCTGTCCTTTAGCTTTTTTTCCCCCTCAAGGATATGCTCTACCACTTGAGCCACACCTCCATTTCCAGCTTTGTGGTGATCAATTAGAGATAAGAGTTTAGAGCCGGGCACTGGTGACTCACACCTGTAATCCTAGCTATTCAGGAGGCTGAGATCTGAGGATTATGGTTCAAAGCCAGCTCAAGCAGGAAAGTCCCTGAAACTCTTATTTCCAATTAACTGCCAGAAAACTGGACATGGTGCTATGGTTCAAAGTGGTAGAATGCTAGCCTTGAGCAAAAAGAGCTCAAGGACAGTGCTCAGGCCCTGAGTTCTAGCAACTGACAAAAAAAAAAGTCTCTGGGTCTTTTCTGCCTGGGTTGACTTTGAACTGAGCAGAATCCTTTTCCAGCAGAACAAAACAGAGATCATCAGATCTCAGCCTCCTGATCGCTAGCAGTACAAGGGTGAGCCATTGGTGTCTGCCCATCAGTCTTTGTGTGATTGGATAATGAGAGCTCCTCTCCCTAGTCTTGTCTAATCTTTATTATTTTTATTTTATATCTTACTGCTCTGGATAAGCCTAGAGGCATGGCATTGAACTAAAATCATGATGGAAATCATCTTTACTAGTAATAGTGTTCGTAGGAAGTTAACTCTCTCTGTCACTGTCTCTCTCTGTATTTACTTCGATTCTAAATTTAAGAGTTTCATCCTGAGTAGATGTGGAATTTGTGTTTAAAGCCTTTTGTGTATCTGAGATGATCTTCCCACCTCAACTCAATAATGTGTTGTAGTGCAGCAATCAGTATTACATTGCTGTTGCATTGTTGGAATAACTGAGGGTCTTGTACATCACCACACTTTGCATAGTAAACAGATATCCTTGGAATATTTGCCTTTATGTTTATAGATGAGATTGGCCTGTACTTAGGGCCTACTTCTCTTTAGGGCTTTTTCCCCCGCCCCCTGTGTAGAACTGGGACTTGAGCTCAGGGCCTCTCACTGTTGCTTAGCTTTTTAACTCAAGCTGACACTTTTGACACATTTGAGCCACAGCTCCATTTCTGGCTTTTTGATGGTTAATTGGAAATAAGAGTCTTATGGCCTTTCTTGCCTGAGCTGGCTTGGAACTGAGGTCATCAGATCTCAGCTTCCTGAGCAGCTAGAATGACAGGTGTGAACCATCTTACCCAGCTTAGGCTGTGGGATTGTATAGAATGAATTTGGAGGTGTCTGCCCCCTCTCCTTTAGGCTCAGGGAGTCTTGCCCCCTAGACAGTGGGTGAGCTCTTGGGTGAACTTGATCCTTGGCCTTTCCTTTGTACTGGGGCTGCAAGTACATTCTGTTTTGTTGAGAGCTCTTTTGGTCTGGCTGGACTGTCTTCATAGCTTCCACAATTAGTTTATACTCACAAAGCTTATCCTGTCAGGCTAATCCATTACTTATTTGTTCCTTTTTAACAGAGAGGTGATTGAAAAGAAGCCAGAAAAGTTTAAAGTCCAGTGCTTGACAGACATCAAAAACCTGTTTTTCCCAAACACGGAACCCTTTTACGCTGCTTTTGGAAACCGGCCGGCGGTAAGGGTGGGGTGGGGTCTGCTTGAGCTCTGGACATTAGCCTGTGACTTGACTATGTGTCCAGTTGGCTTCCTGTCCTGTAAGGGGTGGCCTGGTAAATGCCACGTCCCTAGGCAGAGATGAAAAATGAAGTCACGCATGGCCTCTATAGTTTTCTTTGAAGGTTGGCTGCTGGGTTTGAAGCTGGGGATGGGGACAATTAAACTTCTAATTTCACTTAAAATTAGTGCAATTAGTGATGTTGAATAGCGTTAGATCCTTCCTACCAGAAGGAAAGCCCACAATGGATCTTGACCACAGTGCTGAATTGGACATCTCATGTTTGAAGAGTGGAGTAGTCTCTAGTCTCCTAGGGTATAAAATAGCCTTTGAGATTTTGTGTGTTTGGTCCAAATTTTCCGGAAAGTTCAGTAGTCTGGAGAGTACAACTTGAGTAGTAGCTGTTCATCCAGAAATTCTCCTACTTTTAAAAACGGTGACCAGATTTTCAGAGAATAACCCCGAGCATGACAGTGGGAGACCTCACTGTTTCCAGGAGCGCGGGGAGGGAGGGAGGGAGACACCTGGAGCGTACACCCCCCTCCCCACACCCACCAGATGCTCAGATTGGTCCTGAGCATGGAATCACATTCCCTCTCTAATCCACATGTCGTGTTTCCTGTACAAACACAGGATGTGTATTCCTACAAGCAAGTGGGGGTGTCCTTGAACCGCATCTTCACTGTGAACCCTAAAGGCGAGCTGGTTCAGGAGCACGCCAAGACCAACATTTCCTCGTGAGTACCACCTGCTCCCCATGGGGCTGGACCGGAGCTCCCTCCTGTCCAGAATCAAGGTTCTTTTATCCTTTTCTGCCTCTGTGTTAATTCCTGTATGTATGTATGCATGCATATGCATGCATGCATGCATGTGTCCATATTTTCTGTGCTAGACCTGGCTCTTGAACTTAAGGTCTTGCATTCCTCTCTTGGCTCTTTTGCTCCAACTTATGCTTTATCACTTGCATCACACTTCTGGATCTAGCATTTTTCTGGTTAATTGGAGATAAGAGCCTCATGAATTTGTCTGCCCAGCCTGGCTTCGAACCATGATCCTCAGATCTCAGCCTCCAGAGTAGTGAGGCTGACAGGCATCAGCCAATGGTACCTGACTACTAATTCCTTTAAAAAGATAGTGTAGCTGCCTGTATTTTGTCGTGGAATAACATCACATCCCCAAGTCATTTTCACACTGGAAATACTATCCTTTTTCTTTCCCCACGGTTGGGCTGTCTAAGGCCCACCCAGGGCAGGAAGGCCACACGTGCTTCTCAGGTGCTTTTCTTCTGCTTTCTGAGGCTGTCTTTATTAATGAATGATGTCATAAATAGCCAAAGTACCTTGGCAGAGAAATCAGTTGCCCACCCCTGGGTTAGAGCCTGTCAGGAAAGGAATGGAATGAATTCAGAAACTGGTTGTTTACATTTGCCATGTTTGGTTTGGAAGCCTACAATATGCATTAGAAATATAAGCCCATTGCGATGTGTGAAGCTGAATTTAAAGACAAAGAGCCAAGTATCTCTTCACCACGTTGTTCCTATTCCAGTGTAATTGTCAAGAATCCTGTTTGCATTTTTGGTTCGAGCTAAGTTTCTCCTAGTCAGTGTGCTAAACTAGATTACTGATGGTTTTGTTCTCAAGTTTTAGTTTTTACAGTGCTAGGGTTAAAACCCGGGGCTCCTGCCTGCTAGGTGGGTGCTCTGCCTTTAAGCTACCAGCCTCCCCAGGGGCCCCTGCGGGGAGGGGAGCATTGGGATAGTTACAGCACCATCGTGGGCTATACCGGGTTGTCAATAGAGGCCGGTGGCTGTGGGTGGCCGCGAGGAGCATACGCGTGTCCAGCCCCTCACTTGCCCATCCACTGATTTTGAGAGCTCAGAGGGCCCTGGTGCTGGCTTTAGTTGGGGTCTCAAAGAACTTTGCCCTAATGGTGCACTGCCAGAGGTGGCATACTGCGAGGGCGGCGAGGAGGAGAGGCTTTCGCTAAGGGCTGTCTGCTGGCATCCACAGTCAGAGACGGGGCCATATGTGAGAGCACGCGGTGCCTTCCTTCCCACTGTGTGTCAGGAGCAGCAGGGCCTGGGCGCTGCCTGAGCCTGGAGAGGCCGCCTGGACAGAGCCGGCCCCACCCTCCCCTCCCCGACCCGCTTGGTATGGGCAGACCCCGGGCAGAGGAGGGCCCCGCTCTCTGCCCCAGCCACAAGCCTCACACACAGGAGCCCTAAAGCCAGGAGGTATTTAAACACTTGGTTTGTTCTAATACCCAGGAAAGACACAAGCCTTGGTTTTATATGAAGATTTTCCCATTTTGTGCTGGCTCAGTTTCTCATGAGCCTGTTGGAGGCTCTTTATTACCCACGTGCACACACACACAGACACACACACACACACACCCCTTATCACATACACTATCAATGCATACTCACACACCTGTGCATACACACAAGTACACATCAGCCTATGAAAAATTAATTTTTGCCCCAGAACATGCTGAATTCCTGGAGTCTGGATTCCCAAGGCCCCTTTGGTTCCCAGCACATGGGAAGGGGGGAAGGGGAAGGGTGGGAGGTAGGGCGTGCAGGGCCGGGGCGAAGGTGGAGGGGGGCCGGCTGGTGTATCCCAGGTTGTGAGTGGAAGCATCCTCCAGGTCTGAGAAGGCAGGTTGAGTTTCAGCTTTCTAGCTGTAGCTCGGGCCATGGAACTTGCTATGCAGCATCTTCTGGGAATGGAGAAAAGGCTGTAGGAGGAGCAGTAAGAAACCCACACACTAGAAGATGAAGGACTTGAGGCTCAGAAAGGGCAAGATACTTGCCCAAGTTTACACAGCAAGGTAGGCACTGACTAATACCAAGCTTCTTGATCCCAACATGCCAGCAGGGATTTTTTTCCCCCAAGACCTATTAATGATTTGCTGTTGAGCAAACTGATCAAGTGTGCGGTACACATTATTTTATTGTTGTGTGCATTATTCTGTTTGGTACTGATATTAACAGTGCAGCCAACTGTTTTGATAATGGAGGAAACGGTGGTTTTGTGCAAGGTGACAGAGCTTGAACAAGGCCTTGACCCCAGGGCCTGTGCGTCTCTGTCTTTGGCTCCAGAGGCTGGCTTTGTCTGTGACTTCTTTCCCTCCATCCTCTGCCATGCTGATTTCCTCCCCAGATCCTCTGCGTTCTCTCCCCTTATGCATCTGGGCTGTGTGTGTGTGGGGGGGTGGGGGCTGTGAAGGACCCTGTGACCTGAATCGGGGGCGTTGTCTCTGAAGAGAATCTGCACAATCAAGTCCCCCCCACACACCCACAGAACTTCTCCTCCTTTGTAGACTCTTTGTTTCTTTTGCTTCCAGTTAATTGGTAAGATGTCCTCCTAGAAGGACTGCAGTCTTTCTCAGGGTCTGCGTGGGGCCTAGCTTCCCCCCTGCTCTGTAATGCGGCCCTGAGTCTGAGCTGCACGCCGCGTGGCCGCTGTGACACCGCTGTCCATTTTCCTTCCAGGTACGTGAGACTCTGTGAGGTGGTGGACCACGTGTTCCCACTGCTGAAGCGAGGCCATTCTTCAGACTTCCCCTGCTCCGACACCTTCAGCAACTTCACCTTCTGGAGAGAGCCGCCGCCGCCTTTTGAAAACCAGGACATTCACTCTGCCTCAGCCTGACCTGAGCCCGCGGCCCTTGTGATGGTGCCGGAGACTGGGTGTCGCCCATTAAAGAATAGGTTGTGGGGACCCCAGAGTGCCACAGTGTGGCCATTTTTCTTAGAAAGATTGAGAAGCACTCTCTTCTGCCCTACCTGCCCCACTTTGTCCGGGGTGACATTTCTAAGCTGGTGTGGGGGACAGGCCAGGAGCCGGGTGCAGTTATAATGTGTGATTGCTTCTCATGGGGGCATAATACCCACAATGCCTCGCTCACAGCCTGCCCAGGTGCTCGTTCTCAGTTGCTGCGCAGTGTGGGCAGAGAGAGCCCCGCAGAAGAGGGCTGTCTGAGCATGTCCTGCTGCGGACAGTGTCCCGTGAGGATCACCAGAAGTACATGATCTGTGGCTAAGGAGGGGCACATGCGCAGGACAGCCGCGTCCAGGCCCCCTGCCCTTGTGAGGGGCGAGGGCTGTGAGGGGCCAGTCAGACCTCGCTGGGTCTGATCTCTGGCCTTGGCCTTGTGAATGTTCCCTTGCAGTTATTTGCTGGCTAGTCTCAGTTGTAGGCCCTGAGTTCTTTAATTCTTTTGGCTAAAGCTAGCCTGCATAGTTGGCCTTTCTGTCCCCATTGTTTTTGCCTCAAGGCTGGGCTTATTTACGCCTTAACGCATCTGTGACAGAACTTTCGTTTGGAGTGCACGGTGTCTAGCTCTCAGTAACCTCTCGAAGCCTTAAAGTCGAGTAGGGGTAACTTTTTCTGAGGCAGTATTGATCAGCTCACCCGCCCAGCAAGGTGGGGCTGCTAAGGGGACTGTGAGAAGCACTTAGGCCAAATGATGACGACGTTGATTTCTTTCTTAGTTGATTTAAAGAGAAACAGTTAAGTGTTATTCTTTGTAGGCATTATTTATTGCTTTGCTCCGATTGGACTTTTCTGTTGTAAGCATTCTCGCTGTATTCTTTTGATTGCAGCTGTCGTGGTTACATTAAACAGATGAGCATGCTAGACGATCCAAAGAGACTTCTGTCTAACTGATACCCTGACCTTTAAGAATTTATAAGTACTTTATTTCCCTTAATGTTGTCCACTCAAGAACAAGGGAAACAGTACTAATTTGAGTGACATTCTCTTAAGCTAATCCTTCTTTAATAAACTGACTTGTGGTCAGAACAATGTGAAAAGTGAAGGAATTATTTTGGTAAAAGATTGTGCTTGACTTTCCAGTGTATTATTATCATTATTATTATTTTTTTAAAGAGTGTGATCCTCCCTGGACTGAAATGCTTTACTATTTAAAGTTCATTGTTAAAGTGTCACAGGGGGCCAAAGATGGAACTGTTGAACGAAATGTTATTCTTTCTGTGAAAGAAAACCCAGAGTTGCTTCCTTGGTGGGTACTTCCAGGTAGGTTCTATGAGGGACAGACCTCTCCTGCGTGGTTCACGGAGACAGCCAGAGGAATCTCAGACCGGCATAGAGACACGGGCATGCACACGTTGACTCCCTTTTGGAGGCATTAAAAAACTCCTTGGGCTTGCTCCCTAGTGCCCCCTTGAGGCCGTGTTCCCCTTCTGCCACCAGGGTGTTTTGTTTTGTTTTTGGACTTTAAGAGCTATGACCCATGTACATGCTAATGCAGCCTGCTGGGTTCGGGTGGCTTCTCCCTAGCACTTAGGAGGATGTCTGGCTGTGGGAGAGGGTGTCTGTCCCCATGCACTTTACCCCGTGTTGACCCTCTACAGGCCACAGGAGCTCTGAGCTCATGCATCGCCTCACTCTTGATTTTGATGTACCTTAAACTTCCACATCCTCCCCTTTCCCCTTCCTTAAAAAAAAAAAGCCACACTCTCAGATCTGTCAGGTTCAGTGGGAACTCTGGCCAGGCTGTGGAAGTAGCACCTGCTCGTGGCTTCTGAAAAGGATTTGTATGGGGGCAGCAGCCACCAGAGTCGGGTTGTCTGTGTGTATGCTGTAACTTGTGGCCCCAACATCATAGGCTAGAATACTGGTTTGTGGCCACGTTTCTTAATGAACCACTCTATGGCTCTGAGTATTCAGATGCTCATCACACACAATGAAAAATAGGCAGCCCTGCACAAAAATGGTTATATCTTCAAAGGTTATACCTTTCGATTTTTAGGTTCAGCTCCCTCCTTCAAAGTATATTTTCTGTACAACATTTGATCTATATTTGTAAATGCTGGAACAGTGCTGAAAATCACTGTAATATTTCATTGCATTGTGCCCAATGTGGAAGTAGAAAATACTGGAATAAACGAGATGGATCAAAGACTTCTCTGCAAACCAGCTGTGTGAATTTGTTGTTGTTGTTGTTGGTTGTGGGACTTGAACTCAGGGCTTGGGTGCTGTCCCTGAGCTCTTCCACCCACAGCTAGTGCTCTACCACTTTGAGCTATAGCACTACTTCGGTTTTCTGGTGTTTAAATTGGTGATAAGAGTCTCCTGGACTTTCCTGCCCGGGCTGGCTTTGAACTGCCACCTTCAGATCTCAGCCTCCTGAGTAGCTAGGATTCCCGGCGGGAGCCACTGGCACCTGGCTCAGTCATAATTTCTAATGCTATTTGCCAACATGGTCAGCGACTTCCTGTTGTTTTACCTGCCCGAGCCTTAGCATTTCTGGGAGAAATGGAAGCTTATTGGTCCTTGTAGGAGAACTGAGGCCCAACTCCTCACAATCTACCACAGTTCATCTCTGGACATCTGTAGCATTAATGCTGTACACTTTGGAGAAGAGCTCGTCTTGTTGGACATCGGGGAGGTATGTCGGCTCTTAACTGTGGAATACCAATTAGTGTGAGCTGCCATCTGTGCCGTCCATGCCCGCTCGCTCCTCTCGCCCTTCCTCACCCCCCTTTGGCACCCGAGGCTGCACCATGTGTGCGCCGCTGCCACAGGCCGGCAGGAGAGCCAGCGTCCCATCTTTCCTAGGACTTCACTGGTAACTTCCCCAGGTTTGGAAATGTGTTATCAGTTTGATGTTCAAACATGGATGTGCTCACCACCTTGTACTGGAGGCCTTTTCTAAAGGGGCGGTGTGCAGAGCTCCGGCAAGCGCGGGCACGGGAACACTGTGGAGGGAGAAAGTAACGTGGGTCCTTTGGAAAAAAATGAAGCAAGCTCCTAGACTCTGCCTCACTCCAGCAGGCCCGCAGTTGTAACCAGCTCCCTTTGAGAGCTGGACCCCTCTCCCCGGCCCTCCTACCTTCTGACTCAGTCTGTGTTTAGCACTAGGTCTCCATCTTGTCCTTGAACTTGGAGAAGGAGGGGAAGAGCCACCGCGTTTTTGGTTTTGATCTTCTGCTTCTAATGCCTTGCAGTCCTGTGGCATCAGAGGTGGCACTCTGGGTCACTTGCATTGTGAGCTGGCCAAGAGGCTTGTTTTCTAGAAGCCAGCCTAAGCCCAGACAGCAGCTGGTCTTGGGAGTCAGTGGAACGCACTGACCACCTGGGGGCACAATTGGTTTTGGTATGGCTGCATAGCCTTCAAAAAAAAAAAAAATCAACAACCCAAATGAAAATGCTGGCTCCACTTTAACAGAGGCCCCTGGGCTGTAATGCTAGGCTTGGAGCCCAGCCAGCTGTGGACTGCGCTTGTGGGAAGAACCGATAGTTCCTTAGTGGGGGCTGTTTTGGCCCTAAATCCTGGGGTCCAAATCATTAACTGCCTTTGAAGGGGGGAAATAGTCTGTGGCTATTTGTTTAGATCTGAAATCCATGTTGGTTTGTGACTCTCCAAGTCTCATCTCTGCCCGCCAGAGAGTCCTGGAGGAATACAAGATCCCAGGCTCTTAGGCTAGGCCTACAGAGTCAAGCAGTATTTGGGGGTCTGTCACCTGATTGAATGAGTCCTCTGAAGGAGTCTGAGGCGTGCTTGATGGAGACGCGCATGTTAGATGGAGGCTGTGTCCTTTTGCAGCTCCCAACTGACTTGCATCTAACTGGTCAGGCCAGGAATTCTAACAGCCCAGGGCTCACGCAGCCCAGCCCTCCTCTCGGGGAGGAGCATTGTTGTCCTGGTATTGGGACTTGAACTCAGGGTCTGGGTGCTGTGCCTTAGTTTTTCCACTCCAGACTGGTGTTCCACTATTTCAACCACACTTTGACTTCTGGCTTTTGGGTGGTTCCTTGGAGCTAAGAGTCTCACAGACTTTCCTGTCCAAGCTGGCCTTGAACTATGATCCTCAGATCTCAGCCTCCTGAGTAGCTAGGATTACAGGTGTGAGCCACTGGTGCCTGGCTGGAATGAACATCTTGATTCAGCCACTCTGAAGAAAAGGAGCCAAGAAATTCGCCCCGGGGGACACGGCCTGAACCCCCTTGGCTGGGCTCTCGGTTGTGAGCCACAGGACTGGGAAGGCAGTGCAGGCCAGGCAGCCGAGGGGAGGGGGGTGGGAAGGGAGGGCCATGAGAGTCCAAGGGACAGAACAGATCTGGCTGTGCCCAGATTGCTAATGGTCAGAGCCCTGAGGTGGCTTGTCACGATGCCAGGATCTTTTCACTGAGCAGGAAGCCCGTTCAGCCTGCATTGCTTCTAATGAGTTTTGCAAACAAGTGGCCTCTTCCTGTGACTCACGCTCTTCTTTTGTGCACCGGAGATTGTGGTTTGAAGTTCACATTGGAAAGTAACCACCACTTCTGCTGCTTTCTCTGCTGCTGGAACCCCAACAAGTCACATTCTTTTTTTTTTTTTGCAACAAAGAAATGTAAATGTGGGAACAGCCAGTCATATTTCTGCCCTGATTGTAAAAACATCCTTTTCCGAGATGGTCCACAGAGCCAAGCTGGGAAGAAATGGTTTATACATTTGAAGTCACACATTTGTTGGTTTGAGGGTTTCATATTTTCCTTTTGGGGAGTCACTGGGTAATTTTTACTTTTGTCCTTTGTCTTGTAGATTCATATTTTGGGGGTATACTAAAAAAGACACATTGATTAGATGAGGCGGTTGAAACTACTTTATTGAAGGAGACATCACTGTGGATTAAAGTCTGGGGTCTCGATGCCAGGTGGCCCATGAAAGACAACAGGTAGAAAGCTGGGTGTTGGCGGTTCACACCTGTAATCCCAGCTACTTGGGAGGCTGAGATCTGAGGACTGAGGTTCAAAGCCAGCCCTGGCAGGAAGGTCTGTGAGACTGTGATCCTCAATCAACTATCAAAAAGCTGAAAATGGCACTATGGCTCCAAATGGTAGAGTGCCAGCCTTGAGCACAAAGAGGCTCAGGGATAGTGCTCAGGCCCTGGTTTCAAGCCTCATAACTGGCATGGGCATGCACACATACCCATGTGTGTGTACACACACACACACACACACACACACACACCAGGTAGAATTTATTGTGCATGGAAGTGCTTCCTCCCCCCTCTGTCTCCCTCTTTCCCCACCCTTTCTTCTGGTCCTGAGACTTGAGCTCAGGGCTGGGGCTCTGTCTCTGAGTCTCTTTGTGCTCAAGGCTAGCACTCTA